AGCATTAGCAGTAGTAGCCTTAGATAAGCTAGCATTAGCAGTAGTAGACTTAGCTAATCTAACTTTAGCAGTAGTAGCCTTAGTTAAGCTAACATTAGCAGTAGTAGCCTTAGCTAAGCTAGCTTTAGCAGTAGTAGCCTTAGCTAAGCTAGCTTTAGCAGTAGTAGTATTATCTGTAGTAATATTAGATAATATAGCATTGGCAGTAGTAAGCTAAGGTAGAAGTAGTATCAGTAGTAATATTCAGAAGTATCATTAATAGTAGTAGCCTTAGCTAAAGTAGCATGAGCTAAGGTAGTCAAAGTCAAAAGTCAAAGTTTCTTTATTTGTCATACACACCACATGTGGTACATGTGGTGGAACAAAATTATGTACACAGGGTTCCACTTACATCCAACTAAAGTATAAATTTGTAAAGAAGAACAGTAATAAAATCTAAGAATAACGTTAAACTAAAAATACACTAAACACTAGTAGTGCAAAAACAATATGCCAAACAGCAGCACGAACATGAGTCTGTGTGAGCAGATGAGTACGAATGAACACAGCAACATGAAACAGATCAGCAGCATGAGATCAGCAGCATGGATAATCAGCAGCACATAACAATCAAGTGGCATTACAGTGATTTATTTTACAGGGATTATCCTCGTTAGGGATTCATGAGTCTAACAGCTTCAGGGTAGAAGCTGTTCCTCAGTCTAGTGGTTCTACACTTAATGCTCCTCAACCTCCTTCCTGAGGGGAGTGGGGCAAAAAGTGTGTATGCTGGGTGAGTGTGGTCCTTCATGATGCAGGTGGCCCTCTTCCTGCATCTGGAGGTGTAGATGTCTGATGGTGGGGAGTCTGACTCCAACATCTTCTGTGCAGCCTTCACCACTCTCTGCAGAGCTTTTCTTTCTGCAGTAGCAGTAGCAGTAGTAGTATTGTCAGTAGTGCAAAGTACTAATGGTACTACCTGCTACTACTAGTAGCAGGGTGTGCCCCGTTTCTCACAGTGATCGCTGGACATGGGCATCAGTAACTCACCCGCATGACCCGCAAAGAACAAAGCGGGTAAATATAATGGTTGGATGGATTATTATTATTATTATTATTATTATTATTAATGATAATAATATGCTTTTTTATAGTAGCATTAGTAGTAGTGTTATTGGAAGTATGTTGTATTAAATCTATATAAATGTTGAATGAGTTGTTTGAATTTAAATATTGTTTAAGTTGTTCATATTAAAACTTGGAGCACCTCACAAAAAGATCTGAAGTTGTCGACCTTGACCTCTCTAAGGGATTTTAAACAACTGTTAAGTTCAACTCAGCCGTGTTGCTGTTTTTAGTCTCTTACGTTGTTTCATAATGCAGCTAGTTTTAGTTTCGTTTTGTTTCACTTTATTTACACTTTTATATGATTGTCTGTACTTCATCTGTTCTTTGTCTAAAACAGGTTTCTCTTGTAAACGAGTCCTCGTGACTCGACTAACCTGTAGAAATAAAGGTGGAATGAACTGATCTCTTTATTAGGGAAGCTGTTGAAATATAAAGAATAAAGTTAAATTTATTGAAGCATAAATGTTTAAAAAAACTAAAATAACAGCATCATCTGCTGAATGAGCTGAAGGTTTAAATTTATAAACAGCTAAAACAGGAGCTGGTTGAGGACTCTTGTGCTGTGCTTTAGCTTTTTATTTGTGCTTTCTTAAAAACCAAACACTAAACTGGATTATAGTAGATTAATAGAACAATGTTTTTCTTTCATGTTTTTTTTTTAATATTTATAAATATAATAAATGACTGAGATCTAGAAACAACAACAAAAATTCATGCATTTGAAAGTTTGATTAATTTATCTTTCTTAAAAAATGTATTTCGAATGGTCTGTCCGACTTTAAACGTTTATTAAATAAAACACAACAAGGATGTAAAGATCCACCTTTAGTTTATTTAAAAATGTAGATTAAATGAGCCGAAGTTCTTCGGTCCGATCTGGTCCGATCTGCTGGTACGAGTCGGGTTTTTAAAGTGACGTCTTGAGCTGAAAGTGAAAAACCTGGAACTGAAAAAACTCCCGAGTGTTTTCTCGGACGACCAGTTCAGTTCTTCTGGTAAACACGACACTTCCTGTTCATGTGAGAAATGAGGAAACGACTCGTTTACGTCAAACCAAGTCTTTGCTCGGCAACATTTAAACATCCATCATCTTTACACGCTTCTTCCATTTGGGGTCGCTGGTGCCCATGTCCAGAAATCACTGTGCGGGGGACACCCTGGACGGGTCTCCAGTCCATCACAGGGACACAGAGAGACAAACGAGACAAACATTCTCACTCACACCTAGGGACAATTTAGAGTCACCAATCAGCCTAACATGCATGTTTTTGGTCTGTGGGAGGAAACTGGAGCACCTGGAGAAAACCCACGCATGCACGGAGAGAACATTCAAGCTCCACCCAGAGGGCCCCTGGGCCGGGATTTGAACCGGGGACCTGCTCGCTGAGAGGCAGCAGCTCCACAGCTTTTGCTGTGCAGAAAAATAACTAATCAGATAAATTTAGATTTCTGCTAAACACCCAGAGAACGCTGAATGACTGCTGAATGACTGCTGAATGACTGCTGAAATCTGCTGAAATCTGCTGAAATCTGCTGAAATCTGCTGAAATCTGCTGACAAAACAAAAGTACGGTAACTTAAACCTAAAACAAATACAGAAGAGTAGCTAAAATCCAAAAGTTGCAACAAATTACCGTTTTCTAAAAGCCAAAATGATCAAAGGACTCATTAATAGATGCAAAAGACTGGCTGAAACAAGTAAAAGATGAGCTAAAATTAGTAAAAGACTAGCTGAAACAAGCAAAAGATGAGCTAAAATTAGTAAAAGGCTGGCTGTAAGAATCAAAAGACGAGCTAAAATTAGTAAAAGGCTGGCTGTAAGAATCAAAAGATGAGCTAAAATGAGCAAAAGATTGGCTGAAAGAAGCAAAAGGTGATCTAAAATTAGTAAAAGACTAGCTGTAAGAATCAAGACGAGCTAAAATTAGTAAAAGGCTGGTTGTAAGAATCAAAAGACGAGCTAAAATTAGTAAAAGGCTGGTTGTAA